CTCCTCCTCCTCCTCCTCCTCCTCCTCCTCCTCCTCCTCCCCCCTCCAACGTATGGTGGTGGTGGTGGAAAACAGGTCCATCAAGAGCTGCCGTAGTCTCGAGGCGCCTCCGAGTCTCAGGACCGCTTGCCCTCGCTCCTCGCCCCCAGAGTCGGCGGCGCGCCCAGGGGGGGGGGTGAGAGGGGGCAGGCCCTCCCCAGAAGGCGGCGGGGCTTCGGAGGAGGCTCAGGGAGCTTCTTCGAAGGTCACCACCCACCAAACCACCCCAACCCAACCCGAAGGCTCAGATTTACCCTCGATTTCCAGTGGGGGGGGGGTCGGGAAACATCGACAAAAACACGTGTGGAACCCTTACCCCCCCCAACCCGAAATTCGAGTCTTCGGGTTGGGTTGGGGTGGCGGGGGGCCTGAGCCTTCGGGGCAGGGCCCGCGTGACGGGGGTCGGCGCCAACGGGGGTCAGCCGAACCCTTCTGGCGGACCCGGGCTTGTGGGGGCCACGCGGGGCCGATGCCCCCTTTCGGCCCTGCGCTGACCTGGGCCTGGGAGCTGCCGAAAGACTTTCCTTCTGGGTCCGGCGACGTCTGGGATCATCGGGCCCCCCCTCCTCTTGGACGACCTGAAGGTTTGGGTGCGCAGGTGCGAAGGGAGCAAGCATGCAGAAGCTGCCGGTGCGTGCGGGTGTACATGGGTCAGGAGGGGAAGAAACACACAGACACAATTAATCGTCGATCCCCAGGAAAATATGGGAAAATATGGGAAGTGGGGATGAAGACAAAAACCCAGAAAATATAGGAAAATATGGGGAATCTTTTTATTTGTGTGTATTTATTTGTGTGTTTGTGGGCCCCTTCATTGGGGCTGCCCAACGCGGAAAGGCTAGGCTATCGGCCGGCGCCTCCCCCACCCCTTTCCATGCTGAGGCCCAGTGAGCATTCCTTGCGGGCAATACTTTTGTCCATATCCACTGCAGCATGGAGTGTCGGGCTCCCTTCCCCAGAAACCCGAGGCGCACTGGATATTGATGAACATCGGGCCCCCAGAGACTATGTTTATCCATATCCACTGCGCCTCGGCCTTGCGACGCGCCTTCCAAGAAAGTCCAAGACGCACTGGATATGGATATGAATATTGCTCGCACCCCTCGCTCCCAAATATTTTTGTTCAGTGCGTCGCCCATTCGTCGCCCGCGCGCCAGCCCTGGCTTGCTTCGCTGTTCGTAATCCTGGCCTCCCAGAGTGCGCGGGCGGCATATGCCGCGACTTCCGGATTTCATTTGCGACATCTTAGTTCCCTCCCTCCATCCCTCCCTCCTTCCCTCCATCCATCCCTCTTCTCTCTCTCTTTTTTTTTTTTTTCTCTCTCTCTCTCTCTCTTTCTCTCTGTCTCTCGCACTCGCCCGCTCCTTCCCAATGCTTGTAAATATCTGAGCCGCGACAGTTGCGGATAACAGTGAGGGTCGGTTCGCTTGATCTTGAGATCTATCGCGCATCGAAGGTTTTCGAGAGCATCAACGAGAAACGGCGTCTCACTTTCCTAATTTCGAGACGCCTCTAGTTATGAGACCAAAAACGAGACACCCGAATTTAGAGACGCCCCAAACAAAGGGACCGTACTCCAAACAGGATCGTCATATATCTATTGCTGGTATGATTGACGACCACGATGGTGGCGACGATGACGATAACGATCATGATGACGGTGGTGGAGACGACGATGCACCTGGTGTTCCTAATTCTGGGGGGTCAGAACTTATTTTCCGAATGACTTGGGAACATGGCTTTCGCATGCTCATCGGGTTCCGTGGTGTCCACGCCGTTTACAACCATCTGCGATGACTGAAAAGCCCCCCCGATCAGCCGTGTGCGATGGGTCGTAGGTGGGCCGCGGGGCAAGTTTGGTCGCAGGTGGGGCGCGGGTGGGTCGCAAGGTGGATCGCGGGTCGGTCGCAGGTGAGTCGCGGGGCGGGTCGAGGAGTGGGTCGCGCACGGGTCGTGAGCGGGTCGCGGAGTGGCAACAATAACATCGCCAGCAACTGCAATAGTCAACCCATAAGGCCCTCGCTTCAGCTACGCACCTAGAGACAGCCTAGGGCCGCTCGGCCCCCTCACTCAGATTTGATTGCACTCCTCTATGCGTCGATTGCGTTTAGACTCGACGTGGCAACGGTCGCTGCACTTCTCTATGCGTCGATTGCGTTTAGAGTCGACGTGGCAACGGTCGCGTGCGCGGCCAACACGACATAGCACGTCGGACAAGCCAGGTTCGTTTAGGTCCAATAGCAAATGCAGTTGCAAGCCAGCTAGTGTAGTAAACCAGGCCGCCCAATTTATGCCAAATGGAACGCAACTGTGTTATAAACCAAGTCGTATTTGCTTGCTGAACAGGCGACTCAGCGAAGGTGGCTGGGCCGTGTCCGCGGCCGGAGCCGCAGCGGGGGCGGGGGGCGGGGGGCGGAGCGGGGCCGGGGCTCGGGAGGAGAACGTATCTGGGTGGCGATTCCCCGCGGGACCCGTCCAGGGCCCCTCCGCGGGACCTCCGCGGGACCCCCCAGGCCCCCCCCTATGACCCCCCCCCCCCCCCCTCGGCGCGAGGAAGGGATCAGACGGAAGGGGTTTCCCTTCGGTTCCACTCTGATGTGGTTCAGCTTTGCTCCGGACGGCGCGTGTGAGGAAGAGGGCCCAGGCAACTGGAACAGAGGAGACGACGACTCCAGTGGAAGCTCCCGGCTCGAGCGGAAAAGCCCCTCGCACACGCCGACAGGGTCGGCGGATTCAGCGGGTCGGCCTTGCTGCTCTTTGCAGCAGGCACGGGCTCGGTGGGCTCGGTGGGCGCAGTGGGGTGAGTCGTACATGCGGAGTCGGACGCGTGTAGATACCACAGCCCCCGCAGACGCGGATGCGAGTGAGGGCGCGCCTGCGTCAGGGCTGCACCGAAACGTTGCTTTGCCAGACCTCGGCTGTGTTTTGTTCTTCGTTTCGGCAGGGAGGTACAGGAAAACAGGCAGAGCAAAACGAACAACAAAACGAACACAAAACGAAAAACAACGTTTAGGTCCAGCCCTGCACAGTGCGAATATTTCACTTAGAATCAGCAGCCCTCTGGCCCTCAGCATGTGCGCACACTGAGTCCATCGAGCAGCTGCCGAAGGGAACAGATTGGTGGCCGCCTTGGCGTCACCCTGGCAATGGGGCGGGAATACACTGGGGACCCATGCCAAGAACCACCCTGCTTGCCTCCATGGTGCCCTGGGTTTCTTGGGTTTCGATGGACGTCCTGTGGTCTCAGGGTCGAGTTTCTTGTGGAGGGTTTCTTGTGGACTGGCCTCCACTGTAACGTGTGGGAGCAGAGTGGTAGCTCCGTGATGTTGGCGTGAAGGGAAGAGTCGAAGTTGAGTTGGCGATTGGGGGAGTGGGGGGGGAGTAACAGCAGGGCGTTTTTCGGTACATGACCGAAGCGCTCAAAGCATGATGTTGTCCAGTGTCCGTGCGTGTGCGTATTTCACCGCTATTGTCTCATGCAAGACGCGCGATGCAAGTCTAGGGGCGCGCACTGGATACGATCCGCTCCAGTCTGCGACTGTAGTCTTCCACTCCGTGCCCAGAGGCGCTACGTTTGCCCATACCCTTAACACAACACCTCGCCCTACGGAGGAGAGGGAGGAGGAGTAGGAGGAGGAGGTGGAGGAGGAGGAGGAGGAGGAGGATGAGGAGGAGGAGGAGGGGAGAGAGTGGGAGGAGGAGGGGGAAGACGACGGAGAGGAGGATTGTAGTGTAGGAGGAGGAGGGGGAGGAGGCGGAGGAGGAGGAGGAGGCGGAGGAGGCGGAGGAGGAGGTGTAAGGCTAATGTCTGCGTTCCAATGTCTGCGGTCTTGGAGTACGATGCAAAGTCCCCTCTGTTCGTTGGTTACCGTGCTTGCCTCGTCGCGTGCATGTTTTCTGGCCTCTTGCGGGTTTGGGCACAGGCCTGCCGTGTCGCACTGCATCGGGGGAGCCGCGGCGAGTGTGTTGACGTCTCAGTTCCGCCGGTCCCCACCCCCGCGAGGACGGCAAGAAGAGCGTGAAGGCGGGCTCGCGCCGCGCTTCCTCCAAGCCTGGTGCTGGTGCTCTTTTTCTGCCTCTGGGGACTCCCTCCATCACGGCCAGTGGCACCACTAATGGTCGGCAACGCGCAGAGGGGGGGTAGGGTGGGGGGAGAAGGCTTCTTAAAAGCAGCCCTGCTTCTTAGAAGGCGCGGGCCTTCTCGATAGACGTAAGGCCAGCGCCTTCTAAGAAGCGGCCTCCTTCCAAGAAGCCTTCGCCCACCCCCCTTTCCCTTGTGTGCGCCGCCGGAATGGACTAGCTCCACTGCGGCCACTGGGATTTGGTTCTGGCCGTCCTGGTTACTTAAAAGATGTGGCCCGTTGTCGTAGGTTTGTTGGCTTCTGGGCAGGTAACGGACTCGTCCGTATGCTGCACAACATGGGGAGGGACACAAATAATCGGATTCCCAGGAGCAATATGCAGAACATAGGGGAAAAGATGGGGAATCCTAGGATTTGTGTCTAATTATTTGTGTGTCCCTGGGCCCAGGGCCCAGCCTATGGCGAGCTTTGCAATCCTCTTCGTCTCCGGGCGGGCGACGGGGGGGGGGACTGGGGGGACTCAGAAGAGTCCCGACACCGCCGGCCTTCGCCTCTGTGGGCCTCCTGGGAGGCCCTAGTCGCCACGGCTGGACCCGCCTCGAGATTCCGGTCAGGCCGCGTTCCGGGAGGCCCGCGGCGGGGTGGGTGGTGTCGGGATCTTTTTACCTAACAGCGAAGACTGATAGGTTTCTAGTGGGATCAAAAGAGAGCAGCAGATCACTCCACAGGGGGGTCCGGGCAGGTGTTGGGAGTTGCCGGGCGGCAGTGAGCCGGGCTCGTTTTTCACCAACAGTCACGCACTTCGTGCTCTTCGCCTTCCCAGAACTCCATTCCCAGGCCACATTCTGGGGGGCCGGATGCAACTGTAGGCCACTTCGTGCTCTTCTATTTCCCAGAACTCCATTCCCGGGCCACATTCTGGGGGGCCGGATCCAACTGTAGGCACTTCGTGCTCTTCCATTTCCCAGAACTCCATTCCCGGGCCACATTTTGGATGCCCGGAGCCAACTGTAAGCCACTTCGTGCTCTTCCATTTCCCAGAACTCCATTCCCGGGCCACATTTTGAATAGCCAGACGCTTCATACTCCTTCCGCCACAGCTGTGTTTGGTTCAGGACTTGCTAGTGACACTGCAGTCCTCTGCATTCAATCGTGCCACTGCATTCATTCACAGCAGACCACTGAGTTTTGATTGCAATGGCGTTCCCCTGGCCGTACCCCCATGTCCAACGTTCATCCGCAGCCTCTGCTCCGCGAGGCTCGTCCGAAGTGTCGCCGCCTCGCGGTGCTTCTCAGCCTGCGCCGCCTCGCGGTGCTTCTCAGCCTGCGGAGGAAGGTGGACAGACGCCTGGTTCTGGCGCTGCGCAGCCTGCGTCTTTCACGGTCGCCTCGTTCAATTTCGGGTTCGAGCAGGGCATGATGACTGGTAAGCAGGCGGCCACTCACTGCGCTAACTTCGGAAGGTTGTGCTCCAAGATAGTGGAGACCGCTGATGCTGATATGGTCTGTGGCTGCGAGGTCGGTGCGTTCCGTGAAGGCTTTCGCCGAGCAGGGATCAACGTGACAGAGATCCTCAGTAAGCCTTTCGGTGATGGCATTCGCTTCTTGGAGGTCGACAACTACTTGACTCTCTGGGGTTCCGCGGTGCTTCTCAGCCTGCGGAACTGACTCTGTGCGAAGACAGCAAAGTTTACAGGCCTCCTAGCGGCCGAGAGATTGATGCTGTTATTTCACATTTTGAGGTGAACAAACCAGGCCATGACAAGTTCCACGTGGTGATCGCCAACATGCACATCGTGTGTGGCAAGAAACCGCCGACCATCCAGACTCGAAAGCGGACAGTTCGCCATCTCCGCTTGCACCTGGACGGCCTGGCCAAGATTCTTGAGAATCTAAACCAGGCAGTCGTTCTGCTTGTAGTCGGCGACGACAACCTCACTTTCCAGGAGGCGCGGGAGGCTTACCAGCGCCAGCAGAACGACGAGAAGGTATGGGAGGTCCATGCCACTCCGGCCGACCTCAAAGGCGACCACGTCGCGGTCTGCGGAGCAGTCGCCCGTTTCAGCTCCATTGCCGTTGGCGCGTCTTTTACGGATCGTGGCATGCGCAACGACGCACACGATGCGGTGGCGGTTGTGCTCACTCTCCCTGGTGCTATTCAGCCTGGTGAGAGCAAGAGGCGGAAGATTGTCGTCGAAAACGTCTCCGACGCCGACGTCAGCGTACAGGCGGACCGCGAGTCTTCTGTGCATTGGGATCGGTCGCCGAGTTCTACTCCTCCGCTTTCACCGACTTCACCGGGTGATCCCGACTACGTCGAGGATGTCGTTCAGAATCGCGCGGACGACTTGCACAGGGAGCTGAGGCAGTTTTGGGACGACAGGTACGACGAGGAGTACGATCCGAAAGTCCTCCATCATCTCAGTCTCTTGCTTTTCAAAAAGAGGAAGTCCACGGAGCCAGCGGACACTAATCCAGCTGGCGCTCCTCAGCCTGGCTCGGAATATGACGCGGCCTTTGCGTCTCAGGAGGAGACTGGCCGAGCCGTTCTCTCTGTCCTGAAGCTTCGACATGACTTTCTGCGGAGCAAGAACATCGACGACATGCGCTACGTTCTCACGGAGCCTGAGCGCCAGGAATTGGTCAGAGTAGCTCGCGACCAGTGCGAGCAGTCGCGGCAGCAGCGTGCGCTTCAGGAACGGGATATCGAAAAGGGAAAAGCGAAAGGCAAGTCTGCGCCACAAGGGGGCCATGCGGTTCCGCAGGGTCTGAACAAAGGGCCAGGCGGTAAGAAAGGTTCTCACGGTGCTTCTCAGCCTGCGGGAAAAGGTGGCCAGGCCAAGGGTGCAGGTCTGGGTAGCGTCGCCAAGTTTGTGAAAGACCAGAAGCGTAAGCGGTGGCATAGCCATTTGCAACGTGTGGCCGGCACCAAACAGATCTGGGAGGTGCTGGCCTTCTCAGGGCGCTTCGACGTTGATTGGCTAACGCAAGCGTTGCAAGCTGATCACAGTGAGGGCCGTGATGCAGCAGTTCCCGAGGACGCTCTGCGGCAACAGCGGCGCCGGCTGCGCCACCAGAAGGCCGAGGCCATCGCGCGCTACAACGAGGGGGAGCGGCTTTCCCTCCATCTGTCTGCCCAGGCTGGCCAGCCAAAGCCGAACTTCACGCGCAGGCAGCTGGACGTGTTGCAGATGTTTGAGAGCGGAGCGCTGCTTCAAGTCCGCAACCAAGCGATTCTGGCGTTGGGGCGCGGCCGTCTGTTCAGGGGCGATGGCGACTACCTGGACATCGGCGGCAGCACGGGCGGTGGCTCCAGGCGCATCATCGATTCTTGGCATCCGCCGGACTGGCGTGACTTCCTCCAAGACGATCAGGACATCTGAGTTTTGCAAGTCTCTCTGCCCGCGGTGCTTCTCAGCCTGCGGTCTGCCGCTCTCCAGCTGCGGTCTCGAGCAGTAGTGTTCGAAAGCATGCGAGTTCCTGCGGTGCTTCTCAGCCTGCTGGTTTCGCAGCCTGCGCTCTGCAGTACAAGTGCTTTTCAGCATGCGACATCCTGCGGTGCTTCTCAGCCTGCAGGGTTCGCAACGTGCGGTTTGAAATGCATTCCTTTTCAGTATGCGAGTTCCTGCGGTGTTTCTCAGGCTGCAGGGCTCCGAGGCTCTTCGCTTCGATGCCAATGTTTTCAGACGCCGTAGCTCCGTTCCGTAAACATCTTCCAAGAGCCGCTCGCAACCTTTTGCAGCTGGCTGTCTGCAGACGTAGTCTGTCTCAGCATGCGAGCTCCCGCACGCTTCGCCGGCTTTTGCTGCGCGGGCAATTTTCTCACGCACGTCAGCGCCGTTTGTAGGCGTCAGAAAAACATGTAGACATTCGCGAAGGGCTTAGTCTGTATATCGTCACATCATTACATGCGCAGTCGTCGAACACATCGGTGTACATTCAGCGCTTTGTCCTTCTACAGCATTCTTTCCGTTGATAACAGTGTTCTGATGGGTTCGCTTCGTTCTAAAAGCGTTGATAGCAGTGTCTTGTTTGCGGACAACTCATTCTATATCAACTCACTGATACCGAGTTTCCTTTCACCATAAGTGAATGCATACCAGTGTATGTTGGTTACTACAAAAGTGGGTTCCTACAACCGACTTCATGATCGCTATCATCATCGCAGATTTCACTCATCCTCATCACCACGACTGTTTCACGTTGGTCCTCTTGATGTTTTCTTCTCCTCTTCCTTGTTATTTTGTTGGTGTTTGTTTCCGTGTTCGTTTATGGGGCTTTTTTGCTCTATTTGTTTTTGTTTTCTTTTTTATTTGTTTTTTCTTGTTCTTTTTTGTTTTGTTTGCTCTGTCTTGTTTTTTCTGTCTTTTTTCTTCGCCTTTTGTTGCCCCCCCCCCCCCCCCCCCTCCCCCCGGTGCTTCTCAGCCTGCAGTTCCTTTCGTTACACTGTAGTTGGAGCCGTTCATGGCAGTGGCTCGTTTAAAGACAACTTTAGTATTGGGGGAAGTGTCGATAGCAGCGTTTCTTTTTACTTATACAAGCGTTGATAGCAGTGTCTCGTTTGTGGACAACTCATTATATATCAACTCATTCATGCAGAGTTTCTTTTCGCAGCAAGTGAACGCACAGCAGTGTATCTGCATTACTGGCCCCCACTCCATTATCACTATCATCATCAACGATTTCCTACACGCGTGTGCGCGGCGGTCGCCATGAGTGAATAGTTTGCAGAGACTTCTCGCATTGATACCCATGGGTCAATTCAGAGTGAACTCATTTGTGATCTTCTTTCATTGGAAGTTGAATCGGTTGATGGCAGTGCCTCGTTTAAACTCCACTTTGGTATTGCTAGTAGTGTCAATGCCAGCGTTTCTTTTTAATTGTGCAAGCGTTGATAGCAGTGTCTCGTTTGTGGTTAGTTATAACAGCTTTGACAGCAGTG